ATTCCAGTACGAAAACTCGTTTTTGTTGCTGTGGTAGTATTTTTTCTATAGAGGTTAGAAACAAACGTGTTTTTTGCTCGTGCCGATAACAATGTGTGACGAAAGACACGAGCAACGGATCAATGTAAAATATCTCTTTAAATTAAAAAAAACTCCGACTGAGTGCTATAACTTGTTGAAAGAGGCCTATGGTGAGAATTCTCTATCTCGTGCGCGTGTTTTCGAATGGTATAAACGGTTTTCTGAAGGCCGAGAGAGCACCGAAGATGACCAACGTCCAGGTCGNCCTGTCTCTGCATCAACTCCGCAAACAGTGACCAAAATCAATGAAATTGTGCGCGGAGATCGTCGTATGAGCATCAGGATGATTGCTGAGACTGTAAACGCCGATAAAGAAACTGTTGTGGAAAAACAAGTCGTGGATCTTGCACGAGGACAATGCACCTGCCCATAATGCGCTGTCTGTAAAACATTATTCAGCTGATAGAGGTACTCCAGTGTTCGAACACGCGCCGTACTCGCCTGATTTAGCACCTTGTAACTTTTTCCTGTTTCCAAAGATCAAGTCTGTCTTAAAAGGAACCCGATTCGAGTCGATGGAAGAGGTGAAGCGAAAATCGGCGGAGCTCCTAAATACACTTACAATAGAAGACTTCCAGCATTGCTTTGACCAATGGAAAAAACGAATGGAACAGTGTGTGGCGAGGGGAGGGGAGTACATTGAAGGGGAGCATTCGATTGTAGAATAATTTTTAAAATAAAACTCTTTTTCGTAAGCAGTCTTGTTATTTAATAGCCACACCTCGTACATTGAATAAATATTACCTAATATAAAATCAGACAGCCAAATCTGCAGAAGCTGATTTTGCACAGTATCTGCAATAAATTTTGACAATCTGTTAACAGAAATATGATAGGATTTTTTAGTATAGGATCTCAAGCAGCACGTATACCTTTGAGGAACATTCGCTTAAAGTTCACTTGGTTTGATTATATTCAAACAAAGTGAGAATGTTCGAAAAATATACGTTTTAGAAACTTTAATATATATCTCACGTAGCAAAAGCGTCGCAGTATAACAATTATGCTGCTCTATTACAATTCTATTAGGTTAACAGATAAAGTAATTTATTTTTATACTCTGTTCTTACGTAATCTTTATATTTTTAGTAGAAAATTGATAAAATACGAGGGTGGATCAAATATAATTGAGCCTTTTGAAAAAAAAAACCATATTTTTTTCAAAATCAATTTTAATTTATATTTTTCTTATTTTTCTACATAGTCCCCCATCATATCTATACACTTCCTCCAATGGTCTGGTAATTTTTTAATCCTAGTATCATAAAATTTCGCGGACATGTATCAAACCGATTGCATACGACCTGCAATACTTCCTCGTTCGTTGTGAAGAGTGTCCACCGAGGGCTTACTTGAGTGGCCCAAACATATGGAAGTCGCATGGTGACAGATCTGGGCTTTAAGGTGGATGTTCTAGGACAGCCTAGTGCATATTGGCCAATTTTTGTTGTGTTACTGCTGCGGTGTGGGGTCTGGCGTCATGGAAAAGAAGCATACTTCTGATTGGAATGCCGCGCCTTTTTGACCGATAGGCAGCTCGAACTGAAGTTCCTGAGATATTTCAAAAACAATTATGTGCCGATCGCTTTCGATGAATTCTCGAACAGCCTCTTTGTTACAATAACTGTCAGGGATTAAATACTTCGAAGAACTAAATATCTTCAGTTTCCTATTTATAAATATTATATTGTATATTCTCTTATACAATAATGAATTTCAAATATAAATATAAAAATATAGAGCATAAGCTCGCGAGAGGAAAGCCATTGTAGGAAGGATGGTGTGGTAAAACCAAGGCAAACCTAATTCTTATTGTATATGATGTTATGTATACGTCATAACAAATTTAAGTATGTGTTGTATATTATATTACCAAAACATACAAGCGAATGGTCTATACTGACCTATGCAACAGTGCAACCGTAGAATAACAGTCAATAAGAGAGTGGCAGGTTTTACCTTTTCAGTCTTCCGCGATAGCTTCACTGTCTTTGTTTAAGTATTAGGGGTTCATCTCTATTTCTTATTTCTACGACTGCAACACTACGGTGTGGTAATTTGCTCCAAAGGATATTTTTTCTACATTGAAAATTATAGAAATTTCTGCTTTCCTAGTAGCTTATATTTAATACGAGGGATATTCAACTTTATTGAACACTATGGAAGTATTGGAGGAAAAAATTAGTCCCAATGTCAAAATTTGTACCGATTAGGGCAATAATTAGCAAAATGATTGAAGACTGTGGAGCATCGAAGTTTACATGAATAACGGCAGGCTATAATGGCTCGTAAGAACGAGAAAATTATTAAAGTGATTGTTAAAATACTATTAGGTGATAAACTTAGTTCCTGCGGTTTTTGTTTAAAAAACTCATTTATTTCGACATCAAAAGCAAAAAATACATTAATCGAAGTATTTTCCCTCGCTAGCTATACATTTTTCCCATCTTTCGGGCAACGCGTAGATTCCGCGACGATAGAACAATTGGTCTTTTGATGCAATCCATTCGTCGATCCATTTTCGCACATCCTCGTAATTTCTGAAGTGTGTATCCACCAAGCCGTGCTGCATCGACCAGAACAAGTAATAGTCCAAAGGAGCTAAGTCTGGTGAATACGCTGGGTGTGGGAGAACTTCCCACTCGAGCTGCATCAGTGTTTCTTTGACGGCTTTGGCAACGTGTGGTCGAGCGTTGTCGTGCAAAAGCATGACTTTACGTCGATTGCTGGCTACTGCTGGCCTTTTTTCCAACAATGCTTCATTCAGATGGTTTAATTGTGATTGATATCGATCCCCCGTGATACTTTCGTTCGGTCTCAATAGCTCATAATAAACGACGCCGTGCATATCCCACCAAATGCAAAGCATTGCTTTGTGGCCATGAATATTTCTCTTTGGTGTGGATGTCGATGGTTGGCCAGGGTCTACCCATGATTTTCTTCATTTAGGATTATCGAAGTATATCCATTTTTCATCGCCAGTCACTATGCGCCACAAAAAACTCTTCTTTTTCTGCCTGGCAAGCAGAGAAATAAAGATGTTTAAGCGATTCGCAATGGCATTTGCGGTTAATTCGTGTGGTACCCATTTTCCCTCCTTTTGAATTTTTCCCATTGCATGTAGACGTTTGGAAACAGCCATCGGAGTAACATTTAATGCTGCAGACAATTCTTGGAGCGTTTGAGTAGAGTTTTCGTCCAATAATGCCTGCAAATCGGTGTCTTCAAACTTTTTCGGTTGGCCTGAGCGTTCTTTATCATTAACATCAAAATCACCAATCTTAAATCGCTGAAACCATACTTGGCATGTTCTTTCCGATGGAGCATAATTGCCATAAGCTTCGAAAAGCAATTTATGAGCTGCAGCTGCAGTTTTTTTCAAGTCAAAGTAAGGCAATCTTACATTTTCGCTTGTCATCTACTGGGCCCTTGGCCGTTAAGGTTGCTGACCTCGTCGCCTATGACTGCTCTTCTCAGTTCGCACTTCTCTCTCTACTCCGCCACTAGCACTCGTTCTCTCTCATTCTTTCGCTCGAGGTTTGCACAAAATTTCGGACGGAAAGCGTCTCGGTTCGCGGCTTGATATGCGCGGCTTCAGAGTTCCAGTTCGGAGTAAGTACCACTGAGTGCGCTCCCGCAGGAGATAGTCACACATCGCTCATTCCTTCTTTCTCTGCACGCTCTCCTCGACAGTTAGCGTGCGGTTTACGACCTTCTTCCGTATCGCCTAGCGCTTTGCTTCTTTCTATGCTCGCAGGCTGTCACCACAGGTTCATCATCTTATCCCGAATCATTTCGTCGTTAACGGCCTTACAATCAGGCTTGGCCGATCTCTCGCCTTCCGCCCATTTATTGCTCTCCAAGTGCGACTCCTGCAAAATAAGCAATCTTAGCGCGGAGGACCTCTGTTCACTTTCTTTCCACGGTGGTGGTCCGCTCGTACTCTTCCTCTTGTAGGCAGTCCTTCCGTGTCCACTCGGGACACAAGAGAATACAATCAAAAGGGACGCGATGATCGCCCTTCCATTTCCTACTCAACGACGTCTAGACACACGCGATGTCACCTGTTCGCATAAATATCGCTAGGTCGGTCGGTCCGACATTATTCACGACTTATCGATATACTATCGATCGCTTTTAGTCTCACAAATCGAGGGGAACGCGTCTCCTCGCTTCGCAAAAATCCTTGTGACATGCGCTCTTAAGCTGCAACGTCACAAGTTTAAGATATTCATTTCATTTATAATAAATGTTAATGTTATCTATAAGGTAAATTATCTATAAGGTTGTCTATAAGGTGTTATCTATAAGGTAGAATTAATTTTCGCTGTTGAGGTCAGGTTAAGGAGGAATTAATGTTCGCTTAATAGAGGTCAGTAGTTGTGTTATATGAACATGGCCGAAAATGATTGTTAATGTGTATAAAAGTACTGTACTGTCATAAATTTTAATAATCAGTGCGTGATATTAGATCGTAGTGCAAAGAACACAATTTTTTATTACATAGAAGATGTCGGGTTTTGTACCAAAGAAAGAGCATTTGTGGGAGGCATTACTTTTCTGCATCCGAAGAAATCTGCGGCTAAAAGTCGTGTGCTCTACTTGAAACAATTTGCAGAGATTGGTTCAGATGATTCAAAGACAACGATTTTAATGTGAATGACAAGGAACGCCCTGGTCAGCCAAAATGTTTAGAGATGGAGAATCGGAGGTATTATTGGAAGAAGATTCAGGTCAGATGCTCAAAGAGTTGTCGGAAACACTAAATATCGATGAGTCAACCGTTAGTAAACGTTTAAAAACAATTCAAATGATCCAGAAGCTAAGAAATTTGGTCCCACATGAATTGAGAGAAAGAGAATACATATCGAAACGTTTAATCATTTGTGAATTGTTGCTTCAAACACAAAAACAGAAATCGTTTTTGTATCGAATTGTGACTAGCGATAGAAAATGGATTCGTTACGACAATCTTAAGCGAAATAAATCATGGGTGCCTCTCGGCGAACCATTAACATCAACGCCAAAACAGGATATTCATGGATAAAAAGGTCATGCTGTGCATTTGGTGGGATCAAGTCGGTGTAATGTATAATGAACTACTGTAACCTAGTCAAACCATCAATGCTGAACGCTACCAACGACACTTACTCAATTTAAATCGAGCATTCAAAAAAAAACGTCCCCAATACACCAAAAGATATGACAATATTATTCTTCTTCATAACAATGCTAGACCACATGTTGCAACACTAGTAAAGAAAATCTTGGAAGAACTTGGATGGGATTTCTTACCCCACCCGCCCTATTCATTAGACGTTGCTCCTTCAGATTACCATTTGTTTCGGTTAATGCAGCATGACCTTCTGAGCAACACTTCTGTACTTTCGAAGATATAAAGAAATGGCTCAACAGATTGCCTCAAAAGAACCTAAATTTTTCTACTGCGGAATCCGTGTGTTACCCGAAAAATGGGAAAAGGTTATAGCTTCCGTAGGACAATATTTTGAATAAAATATAATGTACCGTTCCTTTGAAATAAACATGAGTTTTTGTAGCAAATAATAGCGAGAATTAATTAAAATTCCTAATATATAAAAAAGCCCATTAGCACATTTCTTACGTATTTATATAACACATTAGATTAAGTAAGCTTCGACATTCGTTCCGAAACCGTATACATTGCGCAAATTCGACTAAGTTTATTTAAATAATTAAATGAGAAGACAATATATACGCTTGAATATTCTGACGAGCGCGAACGTGGCATGGTAGATAGCGCATCGGTTTACCATGCTAGAGGTCCGGGGTTCGATCTCCGGTAGAGCCAGACAAATTTTTTCATACGCTCGTGTCTTCACTGGACGATCTGGCAATACCAGAGTATATTTGCTCAAAGCACCACCTCACGCAAAAAATATGCCGTTCGGAGTCGGCATTAAACTGTAGGTTCCATATGCCTGTGTACAATCAGCGTGCGCAACACAGGCATATGCGCAAGGAAAAAAACAAACCTGCGAGGTCTACGTCACGAGGAAGAAGAAAAGAATATTCTGACAGAAACGGGTAGACAATGGTTCGCCATAGAATATTTAAACATATATTGTCTTATAACTTTATTTACACAAACTTGATCAAATTTTGGGAAATGATTGCAGGTGACTATTCCTGGATTAATATTGCTTGATGCTTTCTTTATATGTAATAGGTACATGTACGCATGTATTGTTGCATGTGAGTGTGCGTGCGTGCGTGTATGCATTGGGTAGATATCTGTACTGTATATTTTATAAAATCATTTATAAAATAAAACTACATACGAACGAATACTTATACATTAACGCATACGTGCGCGCGTGCACACACACACACACACACACATACATATACACATACACGTACGCTTACGCAAGCTAACGAACACTCTCACATAGGTTAACGTACACGTTTATGTAGGTTCATGCAGTTCATGCACGCTCACGCATGTAAGCGCGCGCGCGCGCGCCCACACACATACATATACACATATGCTTACACATAGGTGCGCGTACACTCACACGGACACACATGCATACATACACAACATATATGCGCGCACATCCACACATGCACGTGACATTCGAATTCAAGAATACATGTGTGTATCTATTACATCTAAAAGAAAGTATCAAACTATCTTAAACAGATATGACCGACACTCATGTTCTACGACTTCGAACCTCTACAATTTTATCTGTTTATGTGAATGTGGCAAAGGAAATATTTGTTCAGAATTATAAATACTACGACATATCTCAAAACTAAGTAATTTGATCGGAGTTATTTTTTATATATGAAACGTTCGGGGTTTTTTGCATCTTAACACGTTGACTGCCACGGAACTTTTCACGATTCTGGTCTAAGAAGCCAATTTGATTTAATCAAGTAATGAAGCGACGAGATAACTCGTAGTCGGCGTCCTGGGCAAGTAAACAACCTACGAGATATCTCGTAGTTGGCAGTCAACGTGTTAATTGCTTTAATATTTTTTTCTAAAACAATTTTGGAAAACAGGCATTTTTTCAATTCAAGGCAGAATCTCCCTTAAGGCCTTCTTAGAGCCTATCTAGACAAACTTGCATTATCGCATGTGCATAAGTAAATCAAACTATCATGATCCGTGCAGAAAAAAGATATGGTCTGTATTAAATATATTATCAGTCAATTTCCTTCTACATATGCATTATGCGATTATGTAAATTTGTCTGGGTAGGTTTTCACCCTTTTAGAATATCATTACTTTCGACATTCCAGCCGTATAACACGCCGGTGAGACGAAGTAGGTGATATTTTTTATAGAAGGGTCGGATCGCTTCAACTGTTATCGAGATTAGCAGTGAGAGCGGCCCTTGCAAGGGAATCCAGTGTGCAACAACTTCCGTTACCGCCGCGACTGAAGGCTTCAGTGGCTGCTCTCTTCGCTAGCACCATACGGTAAACAAAATTTCTACTAATGATCACGGGAAAGCTTCGTTCCGCCGCGAAAGGAATCCTGAAAGATAAACTGTTTCTATATAAAATGTTTCTATGCATTTTCTAGATGTTCAGTACCAGAACCAAGAGAGTTGCGTCGATTCGTATCAAGGCCACCGCCGGGAAGCAGCCGGTTACACTGCACGATGCTGAGGCATGCCATAGAACCTATGCCGTGTTATACGCTCTATCTGGAATATTTAGGCGGTCTCGTACCGCTCTTGAAAGGCAGACGAATTAGCAAGATCAGACCAGAATTCGTGATATTTGACCCACAGAATCAGGAGACTTTACAGGTACTCGACGATACGTCACAGTACCCGTCATTCAGCGATGGTTCGGACACCGAAAGAGACACCGCGGACCTGTGTGGGTCGCCACGGAACAAAAAAAAAAGTAGAAGAAGAAGAGAGGAGAAGTCGAATGACGAAACGGACGAACTTACGTACGCGGATACCTTACCAGAGGTAATACGAACTCTCGCATCTTTTACGAAAGTTGTTCCGAAAGTTTCCACAAAATTGTATAAAAACATATAATTAATGCCTGAAATTTATTTTATTATTTCTCAAACTTCTACTTATTATACTACTTGTACTTATAATTAATATATTTTTTCATTTGATAAAACTAATCGTAGAAATATTTTGTCTATTTTTCTGGAGGCATCTCAGACACCAGATTTTTAAACGCCTCCACCATCGCATCTGCCGTACTAAACTTTAAACGACGCATATCCTTGATGTAGAAATAGGAAGAAATCATAGGATTAAGTCGGGACTGTAAGGTGGATGAGTCATCAATTGTGCACGGACAGTGGCCAAAAACTCAGTTTTCTCTACATTGTGGGACGATGCGTTGTTTCGATGCAAGATGCGCGATCTTGGTCGATTTTGATGAATTTTTCAAATTCTATCGGCAGGCAAATTATGGTGTAGCATTAACCATACGATTTTAAAGTGCAACAAATAAAACAAAACCGGTTTTCCTGAAATAATTATTTTTTTGCCAAAATTTCAGCACTTCATTTTTGATGAATATGACTCGTCTGGTAACACCTACACAGTGATTGTTATTTGCTTTCCGGTTTATAGCAATATATCCATGCTTCGTCATATGATATGATGTCATACATTACTCCGGCTGTGATCGTATTCTTTAAGCATTTCATTGTTTCATTTGATATACGCCTTTTTTGAGGTTTCTTTAAATTGCGCGATATCCAACGAGTACACAGCTTTCTGACGCCAAGATGATTATGTAGGTTTGTTTTGATTTGAGTCATACTAATACCCAGGAGTGCCTTAATTTCTCTGTAGGTCGTGCAATAGGTCTTCCTGCAATAAATTGCGCACAGCATCGACATTCTCTGGAATGACCGCCGCAGGACAGATTTCACAGGACACGTCATTAAGCTTTACTCGACTGCGCTTAAAGTTCGCGTACCACTCATAAACAGTCCTTTTGGATGGTGTTTCTTTGTCAAAAACCGAACGAAGACTTTCGATACACGGTAGTGGAGTTAGCGACTTCTTAGAGATACAAAATTATTGCGCGGAAATTTTCTTGTAATAAATTTATTTTATTTCGAAAGTATCAACTTTGAATATATCTTACAGCTAAACAAATGAATATTTTTTTACATAAAAGATGTCGAAAAACAAAGTGTCATTAAACATGTGAAAATTAATACAACCTGTATCAACAGTTTTAATATGACCTGACGCCTAATGACAACTTGTGGAGACTTTCGAAACAACCTTCGTATATTTCATAAGGAGAAACAATTAACGTTTAAAAGAATTCTGAAACTCTTAAAACTGAAAACCAAAGTAACAGAACATCAATCCTTTCTCTTCCGAAAAACGCAAATATATTTTGATTATATTATTTTAACGGCCATATTTCGCTTGACATGATGAATTACACAGCGCGCATAAATTCTTAACAAACTCTCTGTATTCCAGAGAAGAGGGCGTTATTCTCGTGACAGGCGCGATTATTGCATGGGGAGTTTTAATGGAGCATATTTGTTCGCAGCATGCGAGACTAGTCGAGGTAACATCAAATATCTGGGGAACAAAATTCAAATTTCATGGCTTGGCGGATTCGATTCCCGCAAACCTAGGTCAAGTGACTTATCGAACATCGTTACTACATCTACAGCCGAGACAAATGACGCTCGTAATGACGGAACTTAGGGATGATTTACCTTCAGGTAAGCAAACAATTGGTGATGAATATTATTTTCTTATCTATTATCATCCCAACACCAAGCATCAGTTACATTACATCAATATTATACAAAGGTTTGATAAGTTTGGTAAATTTTTATGAGATGGTGCCACAATTCATTTGATGACGTACTGCCAGGAAAGTTTCACTCTTCAAACCCCCCAGGCCAAACTTCAGCCAGAAGTGATGTATTGTTCTCGCTCAGTAGTCGTTTGAAGCGAGCGAGTAGTAGTTGCCATAAAAATGGGAAAAACCATTTCCGCACAGTGATAAAACATTTTTATTTAAAAAAGTGGACAGCAGCGCAGATCAAAACCGAGTTAGACGAAATTCATGGGAACTCCGCTCCTGTGTTGAAGACCGTAAATTTCTGGATAAACGAATTTAACCATGATCTAATCTGCATTAAAAACTAAGCGCGCACCAGACGCTCAATTGAAGTCACGTCGAACGTCGTGCAAAAAATTCATGGTATGGTTGTAGAAGATCGCCGAATGGGTAGATCGAGTATGCGTGAGATTGCTGATGCCGTAAACTTTCAATAGAACGAATACATAACATTCTGCATTAAAAATTGTATACGAAAAAATTATGTGCACGATGGGTGTTGCGATTGCTGACTTTCGATCAAGAACGCACGTGAAAGAACGTTTCAACACAGTGTTAGGCGATGTTTAAGCGCAGTACACAGAATTTTTGGCGTCGATTCGTGACTGGACAAATCTTGAATCTTGAATCTTGAATCTGAATCTTGAATCAATCACTGAATCGAAGGAGTAGTCAAAACAGTGGACAATGAATGCGTGATAAAAGTGTGCTGAAGAAGGCGAAGACTGTTTTATATCTTGGAAAGATGATGGCCACTGTTTTTTGGGATTCCCAAGGAATTATCCTAATTGACTATTTGCAAAAAGGTAAGACAGAGTAATAACTAGAGTTTACTTTGTAACATTATCGGACCGCTTGAAAGAAGAGCTGAAAAATATACGGCCAAGATTGGTGCGCAAAAGTGCTCTTCCATCAAGACAACGTGCCGTCCTACAAGTCGACTGTCGCAATGGCAAAATTAAACAAATTGGGCTTCGAATCGATTACTCATCCATTTTGTTCTCTGGATTTGGCCCCATACAACTTCTTCCTGATCAAAAATTTGAAAGTTTGGGAAGAAATTCTCGTCGCATAAGGAAGTCATCGTCACCGTTAAAGAGTATTTTGGGTTTGAAGCAGCCTATATTTTCGACAATAATAAAAAATTGGAAACTCGCTGAACCTAGTACATCGATAGCAACTATGTTGAAAAGTAAAGGCCACTTTCCCAAAAATATATTTGTTCTTTTACCAGACTTATCAAACAATTTTCGTAATTTTGTACTCAACAATATAAATGTTAAATAATAAACAGTGGGATATTAGTGAATAACCGTAGCAAATAACTAGTATTGCATAAAGAGGAAAAAGAAAAACAATAAACTAAATAATCATTTTTATCAACTCACAATTTTACAAAAATAACAATAATTGTCCAGTATCTTAATCTTGAATCATACAAAATTGTCTACAATGTAACCAATTCGAGTATTCTCGTAATTGTTCAATATAAAAGTTGAGACTTTGCTACCAACGTCACACTTATGCGACATATTGATCTTTTACATGAAATCAACGCTACATACAAAAGTGGATCAAATATAAAGGAGCCTTTCGCAAAAAAACCATATATTTTTCAAAATAAATTCTAATTTATATTTTTCTTATTTTTCTACATAGTCCCCCATCTTATCAATACACTTCCTCCATCGGTCTGATAATTTTTTAATCCCGGTATCATAAAAAATTCGTGGACGTGTATCAAACCAATTGCACACGAACTGCTACATCTCCTCGTTTGTTGTGAAGTGCTGTCCACCAAGGACTTCCTTGAATGGTCCAAACATATGGAAGTCGCATGGTGACAGGTCTGGGCTAGAGGATGAATGTTCTAGGACAGCCCAGTGCATATCGGCCAATTTTTGCCAATTTCTGTATTCAGCAACTTTGGAACTCAACGAGCCAACACTTTTCGAAATACCAACTCATTACGAATGATTGATTGCACACTTTCATAGCTGATCTAAAATTCCTGAGAGATTTCAAGAATTGTTAAGTACTGATCTCCTTCTATGAGTTCTCGAACAGCCTCGGTGTTCTGCGTTGTGATGTTGGTGCTGGAACGACGCGGGTGGCAATGTTTTCTACACACTCCCGTCCTTTCTTAAATTCGTTACACCACTGCTTCACCCGAGCACATAAAAGGGTTCTTTCCCCGAACTGTGGGAGTAAGGGGCGCCGAATTTCAGCAGCATTCACATTTTCGTTGACGAGAAACTTAATAATAACACGTTGTGCAACTGCAGGGTCTACCTCTTTCTCGCTCATCATGATTGCTGCTGAGAGTAAGAAGCACGTGGCGCGCCAACGTTATTATTGCCTTCCATATGATCCCCTTCCACTGTCCGAAACGTTGCAGACCTTTCATGCTGCCGACGGGCACGCAATTTAAAAAGACTTGTTTATATTTTATCCACCCTCGTATGTATCAGAGTCATAATTTTTCTTTTTATTAAATTGTCCGAGAAATTTGTATGTATTCCTTCGATCAAAATGAAACACAATTTTTGGTTACCAAGTAAAAATTTCATTCAACAAAGTATTCATCATTTTCTTGCACTATTTTAACCTATCTACGATTCTAACTGTAGGATTCCGTTCTCGAAGAACTTGGCTGGTTTGAAGGCAAACATGTCATCAACATGGTTACTGTCTACATATGGTCGAATGTTTTTTCGTTCAGAGAATTTTGTAAAGACCGGAGTAAATGATATTCTGATGGCACAATATTCAGCAAATATAGCGGATGTGGTAGAACATTCAAATCGATCTCGTACAACTTGTTTCGGGTGATCGAAAAACCTAAGGTCGCGTTGTCTTGGTGGAAAATAACACTATTTTGTTTGCAACTTCTGACCGCTTCTTTTGGATGTTTCAGCTCTAATTGTCTTATCAGTTAAAGTACACGTCCAAATTTATGGTTTAGTTCTGTGGGAGCAGCTCGCAATAAAAAGTACTCTTATAATCCAGATACAGAACCTAACTTAATTCGCATAGATATTTGGCTTTTGTGTTGTTTTTGACGGTTCACCAGCCTGACCCTGCAAAGGTTCTTGCATAATGTTATTATAAACAATCTATTTTTCGTCACCTGTCACTCAATGCGTTTATAAAATGATTCAGTTTCATTTGATCAGCATATCGCACATGAAAAATTGGTCCATTAAATTTATATCGGACAAATTATGTAGAACTCAAGTATCATAGCGAGAAACGTATCCAAGCTTCACCAAATGGCTATGAATGGTACTTTTTGGAACGCTTATGATTGCTGCTATCTTCCGAGTTGTGTATCATGGGTTATTTTCGATTACCGCCTTGATTTAATCATCAATTATGGCCAAAAATCTTTCGGAGCATTTCGCATATTCAAGGTCAAAATTATGCGTTTTATTTTTCACGAATTACTTCCAAATGATTAATAAAGCAATTGCTTTGTCTCTGTATACTTCACAAATTTTGCCTATTGTCTACACAGTTTTCTTTCCTTGATTGTAATAGAAAAACATCACATGTCGAAGAAGAAAATACATTTTCTTATCTACCACCATCAAAACTTAGTAATAATATACAGACTTAATATATATTAGCCAAACATTTACTAAGTAATGGGTTGAAATGTCACTAATTTAATGATATACCAGGTGTACCGGTATGAAGTGAGCGTTTTTTTGTGAAATCAAAACACTATTTTTTAATGGGAAAGTAAAAAACATTTTATTCAAAGTATTAGCCATTGCTAGTTACACATTTTTCCCATCTTTCAGGTAATTTGTGGATTCCACGCCAATAAAACTGTTCGTCTTTTGAAGCAAACCAATTAGTCATCCAATTTTCGACTTCCTCGTAGGAATCGAAGTGCTGCTCAGCCAATGCGTGTCCCATCGATGAAAACAAATGGTAGTCGGAAGGAGCCAAGTCTGGTGAATACGGCGGGTGGGGTAGCAGCTCCCAGCCGAGTGCTTTGATCGTATCCTGAACCAGTTTTGCTTTGTGTGCAGGTGCATTGTCATGGAGCAAAATTACCTTGCCGTGTCTTCTGGCCCATTCTGGTCGTTTTTCGATCAATGCATAGTTCAAATTGCTCATTTGTTGTCGGTAGCGATCTGTATTGACGGTTTCACCAGGTTTTAGGAGCTCNATTAAGGCCCGTTCAAAATAAATGTTCCCTATCGAGACATTTGTTTTTTGACGCTCACTTCATACCGGTACACCTAGTATATTCTTCTTTTTCTTCCTTTTTATATTAGGCCTTTTAGGTCTGTTTTTCCTTTCACGCATATGCCTGTATTGCGCACGCTGATTATACATAAGCATATGGGACCTATAGTTTTAATGCCGAATCCAAAAGGCATATTTTGCAAGAGGTGCTTTGAGTAAATATACTCTTGTGGCTTGCCAGATCGTCCAGAGGATACAAGAGCGTATAAAATTTTTCGGTTCTGCAGGGAATCAAACCTGGGATCTCTAGCGTCTCAGACCAATGCGCTATCTCCTACACCACGTTTGTGCTCCAATTGATAAATAGATATCATATATTTTCAATCACTTTGACAGCTTACACAATGTTCATAGGGGCATCTGTTGAAACTCATTAACCCTTAGCTGACACACGTCAAAATAATAACGTACGTGCTATAGGGGGTATTTTAGACCCCAGCGAGAAAAAATGTGTATAATTGTTTTATTTATCAATATTGGGTCAAGTCTCAACTAATACTAGATGACGCCACATAACCAAATTTGGCGCGCAGCTAAGAAAAATTTGCGTTCAAAAATACTCTGGGGCACTTTTAACCCCGTGTGTCAGCTAAGGGTTAACTTCTGAGACAATCC